ATTTCTCCAAACATATACAAATGCCTGTATTGGAGTCAAAAAGGTGCAGTAGAAGGACTTTAGCAGCATCATAAGAGGCCAACAAGAGTGACAGGGGTGTGTCACTGTGCTGAAGGAAGGTTGTGAACAGCTATCCAGGATAGTCTCTAAAGACGTTCCAAGGGGTAACAATGCTGCTGCTGGAGTACTGATCTAGTGGATGTAGTGTTGATGTCATCTGTCTACCTTATCCTCTTAAAATACTCTGTCTAACATTATCTGTACATTACATTACATTACATGTCGCTTTTATCCAAAGCGACTTACTAGTCCAGTATTCAGTACTGTGGACAATCCCCACAGGAGCAATTTGGGGTGAAGTGTCCTCCCCTGATTCGAAGTCCAGCACACTATCCACTGAGCCACAGCCTGCCAGTATTGTGAACGCTTTTAACGCTTATTAAATATAGCAGAAAACATGCATTATTCTACTCAGGAGGGGAGTTTGACAGGGGATCACTCAAACACTTGATTGTACTTGTGGGAGTAGTCCAAGTAGTACTGACTCAGTACAGTATCAATTTCATGTAGAACTTGTTGCAAAAAATCATTTTATCCCTCATCAAATATAGCAGAATACATTAATTATTGTACTCAGGAGGGGAGTTTGACAAAGGATTATTCAAGAAGTACACAGTAAAAATACTTTATTGTACTTGTGGGAGTAGTCCAAGTAGTACTGAGTCCAACAGTCCCAATTGTATTAAGAACTTATGGCAAAATATCATTTTATCTCTCATCAAAGATAGCTAAAAACATGCATTATTGTACTCTGGAAGGGAGTTTGACAGAGTATTACTCAACAAGTACACAATAAAAGTAGGCCACTTCATTGTATTTGTGGTAGTAGTCTAACAAGTACTGAGTCCAACACTGCCAATTTTATTAAGAACTTATGGATACAAATCATTTTATCTCATCAAATATAGCAGAAGTGGCATGAGTTTGTTCTCAGGGACTTTGAGAGAGTATTACCCAAAAAGTACACAGTAAAAGTAGCCTACTTCATTTTATTGTAGCAGTCAAACTAGGACTGAGTCAAACAGTGTCAGTTTTATTAAGAACTTATGGTACAAATGACTTGTATTGCAAATAAAGCAGAAAAAAACATGCATTATTTTACTCTTGTACAGCGATTACCGTAAAGGCGCTATTAATTGCGCACTCAAAAATGAATAGCTGCTGATTTGACCAAGCGAACGCGAGAGACGGCTGAGTTGACCGCAGTTATGCAACAGCAACCGAAGCTAAACTGACTATCTTGACTACTTGTTGCTATCCTATTGTGGCATAAGCCGTTTTCTACAGGCACATTTTACCTTTTCATTATGATTCTACGTGATAGTCGGACTCGGACATGACAACCTGTACAGCCCATGTATTGATTCCATCCATACTTGCCAACCTTGAGACATCAGAAATCGGGAGCATTTCCAAAACCACCGCGGGAGGGCGGGGGGGGGGGGGGGGGGGGGGGTGGGTGCTAGTGGATCGCCGGAGCTGTATTGGATTAACATTAACATGCTTATTGTAGTTGTAAATGCACTGCCTTGCGGCCTGTAGCACCATATGTGTGGGCTGGACCTGTATGTCCAGGAAAGGAGTGAGCAGAGGGTTTGCTGTGACTATCTTCCTCACCCTCTCAGACTTTCAGTTGCGCGCGCTACGCTACCATGGAAACCAAACAATGGTGTAGCTGTATTAAAGTCCGAGTGGAAACAGTCCTGAGTAAATCTGATTTTGTCAGAAATCGGGAGAAATATGACCCCGGGAGAGGGCAATGAAATCGGGAGTCTCCCGCGAAAATCGGGAGGGTTGGCAAGTATGATTCCATCTGATAGCTGCTATAATAATACAAAACAAAACTTGCTCTCCACAATGATCAATGACAGTGAACGGATGGTCAAAGTCAGATACAAATAAACAGAATCACACGAAGCCTGGTTAGTGTTGCCTGACTTTATAAAGTGTGTTTGTTTATAAGTGTGTGGTTGCGTTCTAGTCACTTTGCTCAGCGCTACTGCTTGTTACAACTTTCATTTTCCGTACTCGCCATAAACTGTTATTATGGCTCAGGTTAATCTCGCCCCCTTCCGACGTGAGCGTGGTTCTTGGTTCTTGCCGGGCAGCCAAGTGGGGTCAGCTAAGAACCGGTGTTCGGTGTTTAGAGCCGGTGTAGGTACCATATGTGTTCGGCCTACCAGATGTGTTCGGGGTCCGTTACGCTTACCAATGACGTCACGCATTGGCTGTACGGTAACCCAAGAGGACATTTTACACGGTCAAATTCCGAATGTATTGAAACTCCAGACTCAACGTAAGAGCTTGAGCCTCTTCGGGGGGTGCTAACATTTAAACATACACTTCATTCTTTACTTTGTCCGTTATTATATGTAGACATATATAAGATATTACTTTTTTCTCCGTCATGTTGTTTCCATAGCAACAACTTCAAAATAAAAGCATCTAAATAGATTTGTGTTCTACACACCAAAATACGTTATTTGAACACCCCTCTCGATCGATTTACAAGAAAAATTAGTATGGCCCGCCCTAATACACCAACGCAGTTTTTAAAGATATACATTTTTCAACACAGAATCATTTGCCAAATTACACCATATCCAATCATTTTACGAGTCAGAAAATGCTATCTGTTCATTGCAGTTATTGTTTATTGAATTAGATTACCATGAGCTCAACATAATTATGTAGAGTACAAGTCCACAGCCAAGAAAATGTTATTTGCATATCATTTTATTTATGAATATGGAATTATGGAATTCTAACACTGGAATTTGTTATTATTTACTATAACTTTATTATATTATTCGGGTACAGCCCTACTGTACCAAAATATCCGAATATTCGTTCGTTGGAGTACTATTCGGGTTTCAATTTCGTTATTCAGATATTCGTTTTTGGTTTTTTTCCCCGTTTTTTTTTCAAATTGAATTTATTGAAATCTCCAATATCAACGTAAGAGCTTGTGCCTCTTCGGGGGGTGCTAACACTTAACCATAAACGTTATCGTTTACTTTCTCCGTCTTTATATGTAGATATTACTTTTCTCCGTTAATCTCTGTCACGTTGTTTCCAAAACAACAACAACTTCCTGTCAACTGCGCTAACTCTCCTTCAAAATAAAAGCATGTCCATAAATAGGACATGCCAAATTACACTTAACACATAGCCTATACAACTGCAATGAATGTAACAAACACAATGCGATATCCTTTTCAATTTCAAAGAACACAAATTGGGTTACATTAACAAATAACTATAAAACAACAATACTGTAGAATAACAAAATGAATGCCGTGAATACACTGAAATACACGTGTTGAAGCGGTTCGCTGCTGATTACTACGATTCCGTACAGCCAATCACAATGGGTGACGTCATTGGTAAGCGACGGACCCCGAACACATATGGTAGGGCGAACACATATGGTACTGACACCGGCTCCGCTGTGGCTGAAACAGGAAGAACCAGAGCTAAATCAGGCTGAGTGTGAAACAAGCCTATTGAGTCAGTGTTGCGGTGCTGTTGCTTTGGTCTGGATCTGTGAGCTAACCACGCCCCGTTCATTTGCATATAAGAAATGGAAATGTGTCATTATGAAATACAAGTCCCCTGAAATAAATAAATGTGTCATTATGAAATACAAGTCCCTTGAAATAAATGAATGTGTCATTATGAAATAAAAGTCTCTTGAAATAAATAAATGTGTCATTATGAAATAAAAGTCTCTTGAAATAAATAAATGTGTCATTATGAAATAACAGTCTCTTGAAATAAATAAATGTCTCATTATGAAATAAAAGTCTCTTGAAATAAATAAATGTGTCATTATGAAATAAAAGTCCCATGAAATAAATAAATGTGTATTTAAATGTACATGTATACATATTTATTGCCTCATTTATTTATTTCAGAATGTATTTCATAGGCATATTTATATATATATATGTATTTATTTAATTATTTATGTATTTATTTAATTTTGGCTTAAATGGCATTCCATAGTATTCACCCAAACAGTGAAATGCATCAAGCGGAGTTTTTACACTCGGCGTTATGTGTTTCCTAACCCTGCTACGCCGGCCATAATGCCCCTTTACCCGCATAGCGCGGTTTATCACTCTCACCCGCGCATGCGCACTAGCTGCCTCCTTTACTGGAGTTACAACCTGGGCAGCGAGTGGGGAATCTGTACGGTCAACATTATGTGGCAGTGTGGAAAGAACAGACACTCAGACTGGGATACAAGCAATCTCTTTTATTTTGCACAAAAGAAGATTGTGTCAGCACAGTGGGGTCAAATATGGAAGGAGGCTGGGATTCGGTCCCTCAGCTCCTGGCCGGAGAAAGCAAACTCTCTCATCTCCCGGCCGGCACGCTTCCTCCCCGCCGCCCAGTCAGCTCCATGGATGACGGATGTATCAAAGTCATATAACTGTTGTGTCTCAAAGCGGAAGAGACTAGGTTAATTATTTTATTTGCCTAATATGGTTGCTTAAAAAACGCTACAAATACATTTGTCAATTCGTTTTTAATCTGCCATGCACGGTATCAATGTCTCTCAGCCACCGTAGTGTCGTGTCAGGTGGGCGTGTCGTGTAGGGGGCGTGTCGTGTACTTGCTGCGGCTGCAGCTGGACCATATTGGTTTAAATGCCCAGCATACTACCAAGCAAGCCTCCTCGACATTGAGAGTGTGTGTGTGTGTGTGTGTGTGGGTGTGGTGTGTGTGTGTGTGTGTGTGTGTGTGTGTGTGGGTGTGTGTGTGTGTGTGGTGTCGTGTGTGTGTGTGTGTGTGTGTGTGTGTGTGTGGTGTGTGTGTGTGTGTGTGTGTGTGTGTGTGTGTGTGTGTGTGTGTTGTGTGTGTGTGTGTGTGTGTGTGTGTGTGTGTGTGTGATGTGTGTGTGTGTGTGTGTGTGTGTGTGTGTGTGTGTGTGTGTGTGTGTGTGTGTGTGTGTGTGCGTACGCGCTGAGGCCAAACACTGCTCCCAGCTCTGGGAATATTTAAATGACTCACTGATCTTTTTATGCAATGTGGATAATGATCGCGCAGGAGGGATTCCCCCGAACTTTTTCCGCGTATTGCTGACAGGAATGACTCGCTGTGATTGACGGATGAACCATGGGGACGAAGATCAGCTTGTCTTCGTGCTGGCATAGTTTTTTAAAATGTTTTAAAAAGCCGAACCAATCTGAAGTGGTTTCAAAGCGTGAGGAAAAGGGTGTCACGGTTTTTGTAAATCCCGCTGCTGACAGTGAGGCAGATGCAGACTTTCATTCTAAACGCACCTTACCACCGCTCCCAGCCGGGGGGCCCGGGGGTGCCGGGGACCTGTACATCGCCCTATATGACTACACCGCCCGCACCGAGGAGGACCTGAGCTTCCGCACCGGGGACACGTTGGAGGCTCTGGACAAAAGCACTGGGGACTGGTGGTTTGCCAAAGCCCTCAACGGGGTCTCGGCGCCCAAAAAGGGATACATCCCGGCGAACTATGTGGCCCCTGTGGAGAGTATCGATGCAGAACCGTGAGTCCACCATCTTCAGTTCCTGCTTCCATATTCATTTAGAGTTCTCCAACATAGCGCTCCCCCTCTCTTCAAGCCCAACCAGAGAGTTTCCCAGTTACCTTGTGATCTTCCAACAGAGGTGGAGAAGTACTCAAATCTTGTACTTAAGTTCAAGTAAAAGTACTCAGATGTTGTACTTAAGTTAAAGTAGAAGTACTCGGAGTGTAGGAATACTCTGTTACAGTAAAAGTCCTGTATTCAAAATGATACTCAAGTAAAAGTAGAAAAAGTAATAGCATAAAAATGTACTTAAAGTAGCGACAGTAAAAGTAGTCATTGAGCAGATTGGTCCATTTCAGAATAATATATATGATATGTTTTATAATGATTGATCATGAAAGTGTTATCAAAGCTGGTAAAGGTGCAGCTAGTTTGAATGACTTTGTATACTGCAGGGTAGCTTGTGAATTTACTCCAGGTGGAACTAAAGTCTGATATAACACTTGATTATATAATAAGTAACTAAAGGGATTAAATACATGTAGTGGAGTAAAGTACACCATTTAACTCTGATTTATAGTGGGGTAGAAGTACAAAGTAGCATTACAAGTACCTCAAAATTGAACCAGTACTTGAGTACATTTACTTAGTTACTTCCAATGCCTGTGTTCCAACATTGTTTGGAAATCCTACTGACTGACAGAATATAGGTCCTCTAAGAGCCATAACTTTGTATTTTGATACAGATGTACAAGACGGATCAGTTTTATTTGTATAGGTTTTTACTGCTGAATAATGCTACAAAGCAAAGGCTTGGCTTAAACTAGTTATTGATTATCTGTGAGCAGGAAATGTAGGCCTACAGGTTAATCATTTCCTGGCAGTAAGTCTGAAAACACATGCAACAATGCTTTGAAACACCTCGCTGATGATGTGTTGTTTCAGAGCAATGACTTTATCTGTCCTACCAGAAACTTGTTTTGCAGCAGACTTATTTTTGGCTGCAGGTAGCCAGCTCTACTACGAAAGGCCTCGCTCAGATACAGTTCTGTGAATGCGAACATTTACACACATTGTGTTCATTAACACAACAAAGAAGTAGGCTTTTATCTCCTCTATTTCTGCGTGTAGCTGAATGGTTGGAAATAGTTTGTCACAAAGGTCCAACCCATGTCTGTGACTCATTCTCAGCATGCTCGGCCTCTCAGTGAAACCTGTTTCTTCCTAGCTGTTTTTCCTGTTTTGTTCTCATGGACAAATGTTCCGCATCATTTGTGTCATAGTTAACCTCACAAAAAACCTGAGATAGATGGAGGAGTTCCAATTTGATGTGGGTTGGTGCTTTACATTTAGCCTTTGATGAATGTAACATTGCACATATACATGTCCAAAATGTTTATATATTCTGTTTTGGCTCACCTCTGATAAATTTGAGCTTCCAGTTATTTTCATCTGTAGTCTGTAGAGATTTTCAGTTTGATCCGGGGCCGGAACCATTTGCCTGGCAACCTGGGCAAAGAAATAACTTGTGGGCCCCCTTGTTGACCCCCATATGTATGTCTGTCATGATGAAATAATTCAGGGTTAAGTATCATTTTAGATCAATTCTATGTTCTTATTCCACAAAATAATGAAAATACTTCTACAGCCTGGCTGGGACTCCTGCTTGTGGTGAATAGCCGCGTTCACACCGGAGTACTTTTCACCGTACTTTTCGCGTTTAGTTCCGTTAGTACCCCTTATGTCGCGTTCACACCAAAAAGAGCACTTCATCTCGGGAACTTTTACCCCCATTTTTAGTGCCTGCTGAGAGATGGTACTTTCCTGGGGGAAAAAAGTGCCCCAGTTCTGATTGGCTGGGTGAATTGCAAACCACGCCCCGTACAACTCTGAAATGTTTTGTAGAGCCGCCATTTTATTATCCTCGCATTAGCATTATTAGCATTAGCATTCGCCCAGCGCACAAACGCAGAGAGACTAACTTATGGCAACACAAAATAAAACATGGGAGCAGTGGAGATGAGGAGGTGTCGGCGTTCTGGCGATTTACTCGGAAGGCTTCGGTAGAAGCTGCTGGGAGTCCCAGCAGCTTCTACTGAAGCCAGTCCCCAACTCCGGGGACTTCCGGCCGGGGACTCCGGGTGGCAGTATACGCCGTGAAGTTGTTTGCTGCCTGCCAGTAAACCCAAAGCAGAAGAAGAAGAAGAAGAAGTGACGTCAGCGGCTCATTTGCGTAATCTTCCCTCAGGGAAAAGTACTCCGGTGTGAAAGCGATCTGTACTAAATGCCCTGGGGTCATAAGTGCCGGGGCTCAGAGTGCCGGCACTAAATACGGCAAAGTACTTGGTGTGAACGCGGCTAATGTGGATTAAACGCAGTGCCCCCCCATGCAGCTGTGTGGCTCATAGATGAGCCTTTCAAAGAGTGGTGCAGTGATGATGTATTGTTGTAGAACGACCCAGAAATTGGCATTGCATTTTTGAGTGGGTGAACGAGACGGTGTTATACAGTGTTTTAGTGCTTAGACAGTTCACAGTTTGCAATCAATAAAAGTATTGATAATGCAGTTTACAGCCGTTACATTTGACAAGTTCTGCTTCCTCATACATTGTGATTGCAGATGGTATTTTCCCGACACCAAGCGGCTGGATGCAGAGAAGATGCTGCTGGCAGAGGGGAACCAGCACGGAGCCTTCCTCATCAGGAACTGTGAGAGTCAGAGAGGCGAGCGCTCCCTCTCAGGTGAGAGAAGACTGGGCCTACCCTACTGGTCTCTAAAACATTGTGAACAACTACATATATCTCAAAATGGATTTCCAGGAAGTGAAGTCACTTATAGATAATAACTTAAATGATTTTCCTTTAAAAAACAAATTGGGGATTTTACAAGCCATATGATAAACCCTCTATCAATGAACTGCTACACTATCAGAATAATTATGAACGTATCATAACTTGGGAAGCTGTTTGCTGTAGTAATGTCTGTCTAACATTCTTAAAGCAAACTGACTTCATTATAATTGCACTATTGTACCATTCTGCTGTGTGCGTACTTCTCTGCCACAAAACACACATTTCCAAATACCCTATTGTTAAGGTCTCTTATCATCAATTGACTCAAAGGATTAGTGGTTTCAGGGTCATGAAGTGGAATACATCGAGGTCTGTGCTCCCATAAAGCAGGCTGATAACTTTATCTCCCTCTTTTCTAATCTGTGTTCTCACTCCGGCCTTGCTCTTTCCATTATGACTGAATTCTTTCCATGTTCATTAAGTACAGCCAGTTGATGACCTCATCAGCCCCGGGTTATTTCACAGAATGTGTGGGAATACGGTGAACATGCATTTAACCCATCTTTATTTTACTTATTTAATAGCAAGGCATCCAAGCAACAAATGGTTTTAAATATATTTAATAAATAGTATTGTTTGAACCTCAGAGAACCCCACAGTTAATCTAGGAAAGGCTGAATAAAATATGAATGAATAGTTATTGTTCTATTACAACATTTAAAAAAAAAAAAAAAATGTTCAAGGTTCAAGGTTCTTTATTGTCAATCTGACATAGCTACAGAGTAATTATGTAGTTGAAAATCTTATGTCACAGGCTTCTCCAACAGTGCAACATAATAACATAATAACAATAAGAGCAAGAGCAATACAAAAAGAATAATAGTTATAAAATAAAATAAAGTGATGCAGTACGAGTCTATATACAAGTTATTGGAGTGATATATATATATATATATATATATATATTAGGTATTAGATGCATAATACTGAGTAGCAGATGAATGTTTGAAGTTGTTTCAACAGTTCAATTGTTTAACAGTCTCACTGCCCGCGGGAAGAAACTGTCTCCGAATCTTCTTGTCCTTGCCAGGATGCTGCGGTAACGTCTGCCAGACGGCAACAGAAAGAACAGTTTGTGGCTGGGGTGATGGGGGTCTTTGATAATCCGTAGTGATTTCTTCCTGAGCCGCTGGGAGTAAAGGTCCTCCATGGATGGCAGCTCCGTCCTGGTGATGTGCTGTGCAGTTTTCACCACCCTCTGTAAAGCCTTACGATTGAGGTCGGTGCAGCTGCCGTACCAGGCCGTCATGCTGCCAGTCAGGATACTCTCTATGGTGCACCTGTAGAAGTTGCAGAGTATCCTGGAATCCATTTTGAACCTCCTCAGCCTGCGGAGGAAGAAGAGCCGCTGTCGAGCTTTCTTGGTGATGGTGGTGGTGTGAAGAGACCATGTCAGGTCCTCAGTGATGTGGACCCCAAGGAACCTGAAGCTTTTGACTCTCTCCACCGTAGTCCCATTGATGGCGATGGGGGCGTGTCCCTCTCCCTGCTGCTTCCTGTAATCCACAATCAGCTCCTTTGTTTTGCTGATGTTGAGATGGAGGTTGTTCTCCTGGCACCAAGATGTCAGTTTTTCGACCTCCTCTCTGTACGCCGTCTCGTCATCGTCTGTGATCTGGCCGATGACGGTCGTGTCATCAGCAAACTTCACGATGGTGTTGGAGCTGTGTGTGGCCACACAGTCGTGAGTGAACAGGGAGTAGAGGAGAGGGCTGAGCACGCAGCCTTGAGGGGCACCGGTGTTGAGAATCAGGGTGGAGGATGTGATGTTCCCCACCCGCACTGCCTGGGGTCTGCCCGTCAGGAAGTTCAGGATCCAGTCACAGAGGGCGCTGTTGAGCCCGAGGTCTCTGAGCTTGATGGCCAGCTTGGAGGGCACAATGGTGTTGAATGCTGAACTGTAGTCAATGAACAGCATTCTCACATATGTGTTCCTGTTCTTCGGGTCCAGGTGTGAGAGGGCAGTGTGGATGGTGAGGGCTATGGCGTCGTCTGTGGACCTGTTTGCTCTGTAGGCAAACTGCAGGGGGTCCAGAGATTCAGGGAGGGAGGAGGTGATGAATGATTTGACTAACCGCTCAAAGCACTTCATTATGGTGGAGGTGAGTGCTACTGGGCGGTAGTCGTTGGGGCAGGTGATGATTGTCTTTTTGGGGACAGGAACGATAGTGGAATGTTTGAAGCATGTGGGGACTACAGACTGCAACAGGGACCTGTTGAAGATGTCTGTGAACACCTCTGCCAGCTGAACTGCACACACCCTGAGAACACGGCCAGGGATGCCATCAGGTCCAGGAGCCTTGTGTGGGTTAACCCTTTTAAAGGATTTACACACATCTGCCCTGTGTAAAACAAAAGGGCAGTGTAGCTCCTGGTCCCTCTGTACCTCCACAGCCTGGCTGCTCTCAAAGCGTGCAAAAAAACTGTTTAGCTCATCTGGGAGAGATGCGCACGCAGACACTCCCGCAGCACCCCCGCTGCTCCTTTGTAGTCAGTCATTGTCCTTAGTCCCGCCCACATATTCCTAGTGTTACAGCCTTTGAAGTCAGATTCCACCTTGTCTTTGTACTGTCTCTTTGCATTTTTAATTGCTCTCCGGAGATCATACCTAGACTTCCTGTACTCCTCCAAATCACCCGCTCTGTGCGCGAGAGTGCGCGCTTTCAGCTTGCAGCGCACATCGGAGTTTATCCAGGGCTTTTGATTTGGGAATGTCCGTACAGAAACCTTAGGTACCACGTCATCGATGCATTTCCCAATGTAGCAGATGACAGTGTCCGTGTGTGTGTTGATGTTATTGTCCTCAAACACACTCCAATCCGTGGATGCAAAGCAATCCTGCAGTGCTGAATCTGACTCCTCGCTCCATCGCTGTACTGTCCTTGTTACCGGTCTGTCCCTTTTAAGTTTCTGCTTGTAAGCAGGCAACAACAGTAGTGAGATGTGGTCTGATTTGCCGAAGGGAGGGCGAGGGAGAGCCTTATATCCATTCCGGAAAGGGGAATAAACATGGTCCAATATGTTTCCCCCGCGCGTCGGGCAGTTGATGTGTTGGTCATTAGAATATATTGTTCATGCTTATTTCTTTAGGCAGCAATACATTCACAAAGAAAAACACACTTTTGTAATGTTTGCATTCTAATTCAAGGTTATGAAGAGTCCCTTTTTTCTTCATACTTAAGCACATAACAGGTACAAGACTTAAACAAATACTTAGCACCTACTAAAATGTGACCCAGAGTGAGGTGTTAGTATATAATTATGTTTTTATAAATATCTGTTCTGAATATTCAAATGACATCTCTTAACCTTAAAGTGGCATCAAACACTATTTTAATAAATCACGGAATAGATGGAATATAAAGATTGTAGTAATGAACAAACAGAATCCTCAGCAGCTCCCCTTCAGCTCTGAAGAGTCGTATTGCTTTAGTTAGAGCTCTGATCGCTCTCATGAAGTTCACAGCAGCTGTTTCAGGGTTTTCCGACACTTTACCGTCTCACTGGTGAATGAAGTGGGGCAATTTCACTCTTTTTCTGTGTTTACAGCTTGATGTGTTGCAACCAAAAGGCAATACATAATAATCAGTAAACACTGACCTAACCCAATTAAAGAGTGTCTCTACTTTAAAGAGTCCTCTCCTGCTGATGTTCAGGTGTATATCAGTATGTAGTGTCTCTACTTTAAAGAGTCCTCTCCTGCTGATGTTCAGGTGTATATCAGTATGTAGTGTCTCTACTTTAAAGAGTCCTCTCCTGCTGATGTTCAGGTGTATATCAGTATGTAGTGTCTCTACATGTCTCCATGCTTTAATGTTCAAAAAGCTCTTTATTTTTCTCATACTGCCTGTGCTGCAGCACCTCTTTTCACCCTGTGTCTGAAACCAGAGCCCAGTCTGCTCTGATTGGTTAGCTGGCGTCCATTGTAGGCTTTTCAGGCAGGGGAGCAGTGTGTGGTAGAGAAACTCCCTCTGGAGGGAACTTTGGGATTGTAGCCTTTACAGACCATTTACATGCACAAAAACCTATAGAACACACTACAGGAGAGGGAACACCCCCCAAAACATGCGTTGGCTTCGTTTGATAAAGACTTGAAGCCTCCTGTCAGAGGAAAACTTACCTCACAATTCCCACTCTTGTGTAAACTCTGATGTTGGCTTGTGTTTCAGTGCTGGACTGTGGGAAGGTGAAGCATTACAAACTGAAAAAACTGGAGAATGGTCATGTGTTCGTGTCCAGGGCCCGATCCTTCCTTACTGTACAGGAGTTGGTGGCTCATTACTCCCAGGAGGCCGATGGCCTCTGTGTGCGTCTGGGGGAGCCTTGCAAAAAGGTAAACACATCCTCTCAAATCCTTTCATCCCTTGTTTTCTTCCTAAAGTTCATGTTTGAATACAGTATGAAGTCATGGTGATGTGAGTAGACTTTGACTCTTCCTGTGTGTGCAGATGGAGGCTCCACAGACTCACGGCCTGTCCTACAACACCGTGGACCAATGGGAGATTGATCGCAACTCCATCAAGTTGCTAAGGAAGCTTGGCGCCGGACAGTTTGGAGAAGTGTTCGAAGGCCTGTGGAACGAGACCACAGCGGTCGCAGTGAAGACCCTCAAACCTGGTACACTAATGCTTCCACTCTCTTACTGGAGGGTTAAACCAGAAACATGCTAGTGTTAAGGATGGGTAAACAACTGTTACTGTAACTGTGGAAGTTGATTTGATCCTTCTAATGGAGATAGGATAAATGAAATCTGAAAATGAAATCAATATCTCACTAACTGTTGTTTCTCGTCTATAGTTAAGATTATGCATAAAATGCATCACAAATGTCCTGTTTTGTGAAGAAAAAACATAATCTTCCATAATGTCCATCCTTGCTTTAAGATTCACTCCACACTGTAGTGGATTCTTCCTTGATGTTTTACACTTCCACCACAAGTTTCATGAAAATCAGGCCAGTCATTTCTGTAATCCTACAGACAGTCAGGCGATAAACCAAGCCAAAACATGACCTCCATGATGGTGGTCCAAGAATCTATGTAAGAATGAGTGTACACACACTGTATCACACACAGTGCGACAAGAACAATGTAACCAACCACTGCAAAACACTGCTCATATACCCCCCTGTACCACCTATCACAGGAACCATGGACTCGGAGGACTTCCTGAGAGAGGCTCAGATCATGAAGAGGCTGAGGCATGCCAAGCTGATCCAGCTGTACGCTGTGTGCACCATGGAGCAGCCCATCTACATCATCACTGAGCTGATGAAGAACGGCAGCCTGCTGGACTACCTCCAAAGTAACATACCTCATGTTGATCTACCCATGACATTATGAGCTGCTGCTACTTTATGACCAGATCAAAGTCCACTGCTAGTTTGCAAGTGTCAGGGCGACAGTAGAGATTTATCACAGATCAACACAACTATTACGATCCTACAGTGCACAAATTAAAACTTGTTCGCCATATTCAACATCATTTTCTTTATTAGTCTAAGCCAGTTGCCTTCATCATCAAAATCCATTCCAGGTTCTGGCTCCGTCCACTTTCCCAATGAGTACGTCTTAAACTTGAGTTTTTATGTTAATCCTTTTCATTCATAATTTTTTGGTTTTATTATTTTTCTTAATTAAATGTAAGGGAATAATTCTGCAGATGAAACCCTGATATCTTCCAGCAGTCCACTTGCTCTGACACTCAGAACATGCATTAGGCCTGCATGTTTAACTCTAAATGCCTGTATAGAAAAGACCATTTTGAAATAACTGCTAGCAGGCTTGTTCGTTCACACTTTTCATGCTTTCACAAACGTACAACTTCAACCTCTAAATTCATGCCTTCTAGGGTGAAACTGTGGCTGCTAGTTTAGAGAAACCTTATTTTTTGCCATAATATTTGTTTCTGTATATATTAAATGTAGCAGACAGAAGGAATGTATATTATTTAAAAGTGAATGAATTTCCTGGATGACCTTTAACTGAGGGCAGTCTTAACATGCTCAAACGATGGCTTCTCAGTGTGGCATAAAGCCAGTGAAGATCACATGTAGCAGACAGAGAGTGAGTCTGAGCTCAGCGGAGGAACATATTGCCCAGTGGGGTGTGAGATGTAGTTTCACATCAACCATAAGTCACCATACACCCTACTGCTGTAACCTCTCATGGCTAAGACACGTTCATGAGATCATGCTCACTACATTTAAGTAGAGAGAATAATAAGAGTAATCATTCAGCCGTAATTTAGATTTGTCAAAGTTCCCTGCTTCCATCTAGCATTGGAAACATTTTGAAATAATTGAATATTATGCAAATGTCTTATTTTACATCTTAATAACATCTCCAGATTAGATATATAAAAAACATACTTCTATCACCATTGTCTTTATGCCATGACAGTATCTTTAGACCTTTTAGCATGCTAAGACTGCACTGATTATTCCTCTGTCCTGCTTCCAGACGATAAGGGCGCCATGCTGCGTATCTCTGACCAGATAGAGATGGCTGCCCAGGTGGCGTCGGGCATGGCTTATCTGGAGCTTCAGAACTACATCCACAGAGACCTGGCAGCGAGGAACGTGCTGGTGGGAGAGAACAACATCTGCAAGGTTGCCGACTTTGGCCTCGCCAGGGTCTTCATGGTGGGTATGACATTTAAAGTGCTGTAGTATACTGTATGTCATAGTTACAAACTAAAATACAACAGTATACACTGCCATGAAAAATTGTACACAGCCTGAAATAAGTACTTTAGTAAACGGAAGTAGCTTTGTATCTTTTAGACCTGTATACAGTGTATTTGAAAAAATACCTATTCTGCTTTTTGGAGTGTTCCCTCTCCCGTAGTGTGTTTTATAGGTTTTAGTGCATGTAAATGGTCTAACATCCCTGGGTTCCCTTCTCTCCCCCACACTCGTGCCACAACCTGAACATTAGCACATTAGGGGCCCTTTTTAACAAAGAGCAGCCTGTGATCGATCGCTTTAATGCACTTTGAGTAATGTGGCAGCCTACTGACACACAGAAAGGCAGTGTGTGTGTGTGTGTTTGTCTTTTTGAACATTATTGAATGGAAACATGTCTGAATTCTTTACTTGTATCCAATGTCGACCCTGTTTACTGCCTAAAAAATACGCCACAGGTTGTGTGAACATCCAGACATCAGTGTAGTCTGGTCATGTTGTGAATGAACATATCTTTACAATGAAGCTGACTGACAGTTACAAACTATAATGTCTTGTTTTTTTTTTAGAAAGAGAATGAAAATGTGTATGAAGCCAAAGAAGGAACTAAATTCCCTGTGAAGTGGACCGCTCCGGAAGCCATGCACGACAACAAGTTCAGCATTAAATCAGATGTTTGGTCCTTTGGAATCCTGCTGTATGAGATCATGACGTTTGGACAGATGCCTTATCCCGGTGAGACTCTCATCTTGCTGGTCATAAATCATTCTCTGAGATTTAGAAAAAATAGAAAACATTGTATTCAGAATTCTATGATTTTAAGTAACTTTCCAAAGGTCTCAAAACCTTTCAGGTAAACTGACTATAGAAAATAATTGTCTGCAAGATAAGTACCATTGTCCTTGTGTTTTTCTCCAGCCATGACCAACTACCAGGTGGTTCAGAGGGTTCCCCAGGGCTACAGGATGCCATGCCCCCCCAACTGCCCCAAAGTCATGTATGACATAATGATGGACTGTTGGAAGCAGGACGAGCCGGACCGGCCCACATTCGAGACGCTGCAGTGGAAGCTGGAGGACTTCTTCGACATGGACGTGACCTCGTACGACGATGCCGCCCGGTACTAGCACTCTGAGCCGGCTGTGAGACACTGGAAGACACAAATAAACTATTCTTTCTGCACTGAAAATAAATCAAAACCACCTGAATCCAAGCATGAACAAGTTCACAGATTGAAGTGTAATTAAAATGTCCACTCATTGCGGTCAAGTGAAGGATTTAAAATGTTTGATCTGCATGTGATAGAACACTGAGCGTGTCTGGATGCAGCAGTTGGTGAGGACACAGGTCTTTGTTAGACAACTCAATGCACTTTCAGACAGGCTGCTGTAACTAAAGCACAGAGAGCTGCTATCCGTCCACCTCCTCCAACTGGTTCTTCCAGCTGAAAGGAATGTGTGCAATACATTCTTTCCATTGCCAAGCTACCTGCCGTAAGTCACGAGTCACTTCTGACATGCTCCGTCAGTTCCAGAGTGGCAGGTGCCCTCAACTGCACCCATTCCTAAATGTATAGCTACAAGTGATTTAAGGTTATTTAAAGGAAGGAGACTGTTGTTAGTCCCAGCTAAAGGGGCCCAGTAAATTAAAGATAATAAGACTCTAAACTACTACTTCACTCTTAAGGCCACGCCTTGATTATATAATGAAATAGTTTCACTTAAGCCTTTGTCCCCTGTAAGACAGGTACAAGAGTTAAAATGAGGTATGGATGTGGTCCAGTTTCTACCGAGCCCTGAAGGAGGAATGGACAAACCCAAATTACCTTCTATTAATTTACAACATTACATTTTTAACTAATAATTAGAGCTGCTGTCATTTAGAATGAATTATAAACAACATATTATTAAGCTTGGTCATAACTCTTCTTCAGCCTCCACGTCCAGTCTTAACCCTCTTTTAGCTTCGTTTTGGTCTCCACCAACTCCTGAGAAAATGTCCAAGGGTGTTTCTCAATGTCGAGTAAAGCTGCTTCAGAGCCACTATTTCAAGCATACTACGTCATCGAGAGCCGCCGAAGTACTGTTCCAATCTCCAGCATACTTGGAAATCTACCGAGCCCGGCGTACTCCGTTTGGAGAAATATCGAGGCTGCACATGAGTAGACTCCGCGGTCTTAAAATCCCCACAATGCTTTGCGCACGGACCAATTTCCCCAAATCTGTGACGGAAGATGTAAGGCGGGGCCTCTCATATGACGCACACCTGCACACTTGCTAGCGTGTTCCACTCTTTGTTTTCCGAATGCCAGGAAGTATTCTTGCCTCGCTTCTGAAGCAAGATGCTCGGCAGACATGTGCTACCAAGCAAGCGTACTCCACATTGAGAAACACCCAGAGTCTTTAAAAATACTCCATGGTTTGAAACGGCTTCCTGCTGCATCTGGAACTGTTGATAGCTAGGAGAGAATTACTAATGCATATTCTTTACAATTAAAACATAAGTGTTATCTTTGACATCGCATAAACGGTGTGTTAAAGGTTGTTTAGTAATATCCTTGTATTTTGTGTGCAAAATTGGAGTAATTTGACAGCACAGATGATTATTATGAGTGCACACAGATGTTACTTATTTCTCCTTTAATACCTGCTGGCCCTTTTTTCTAGGGCCCCAAATCTCCCAGCCTGCCCCTGGACTAATGACTCAATGACTGAACTAAGCGACACTGTGTGCTCGATCATTAGGAATGATTTGTGTCAGATCTGCGTCCACATTCATTCTGTGGCTCAGTGTGGATGATTTCATGCTCTGATGATTCTGTATGATGTTTTTAGTTTAATGAACAACATATTTTAATAGTACATAATATCCATGCCAGTGTTTATATAATCCTGTATTGTACATTATTAAATGACTTTTATTTACTATGATCTTTGTTTGGTTGTTGGTTTGATTGGTTGCTGAACTACTCTAAGCTGGTTTTGAACGAGATCAATCAGAAGACCATTTACATGTACAGGAGAGGGAAGACTTCAAAAGGAATATTAGCACCCCTTTAAGTCTTTAGAAATCAAAGTCCATGTCTATTCTGCTGACCAGAATGTTGACAACTTCCTGAAACATATTTAATCACCGTTGGTTTGAGTGGCCAAAGTCCCTTCCTGTGCACTTCCTGTTCTTGCATGCTGTGTCCCCCCTCGTCTCATCTACCACCTTTCCTGAGTTTTGCCCCTTTCTTTGTAATGTTGGGGAAATTTGAGAACATTAATTACACCGTTTTAAAATGATTATAAGCTTCAATTGGTTTATTGAAAAATATGCCTTCATGTAATTTGTGTTTTTTTTCACAGGGGGGTGCTGACACTCTGTGAGACATTTAGTGTGTGCACTCAAATCTCTCTGATAGTGTGTATCTCTGTGAATGCCTCTGTCATAATTGAACCTATTAAGGGAAGCTTTAAAATCGGTCCACGACATACACTTACATTTAGGGTCCAAGGGTTCCTCCTGCCCCTTAGCAGGAGGTGGCGTTGTCTGTAGAGCTTTAACAAGCCACATTTCAGTCAGACAACGTGTTTCTTTAACATGTTTATTAGAAGCAGCATATAGTTGAGTTTGGCGACTAAGCTCGGGCCTCATCACTCCACAGATATACATAGCACGATGAGTGATGATTAAATAACTAACCCCCAAAACTGCGTGGAGATTAGATACTATCCCCCAAAACTGCATAGCCCGAGCCTGACACTGGTGATGTAAGACTGATAAGTAGAGGGCCTGGCGAGCTGCCACGTGGCCAGGGGCGGACTGGGACTACAAATCAGCCCGGGACTCTCCCTCTGATTGTGTTCACCTGTTGCCCTTGTGTTTCTCCTTCCCTGCCCGGCTGTTTCTCGTCTCGTGATTACCCCTCCCTGTATTTAGTCTGGTCTTTTTCTGTGTTTTCTCGTCGGTTCATTGTTTGTCTCTCCTGTCTCCCTCCATGTTCGTCACGGTCAGTTTTGTGTGTTTTACCTTGTACTTTCTATGTTTTTCTATTCATGCCATGTTTTTGTTTTTTCAGCTTTTAAATAAAGCTCGCTTTTGTTTATAGACCTTACCTTTTTTGTAGTCTGCTTTTGGGTCCTACCTTTCCGCAATCCGTAACAGTGATCATAACAGAATGAACCGACCAATTATGGACCCAGCGGATTATGATTTTGATTTTGATTTGCTCTCTCTGGAATACTCCCTTCGATGTCTTCATGTTGAGTGGAGTTTTTCCTCGTCTAGAAGGGACAAAGGTGCTGTCCTTAAAAAGGCACAAATGGAGGTGGCCAACATGCCATGGTTGTGGAGCTCGTTGCCTCAGGCTCAGAGAGTTCTCACGTAGCCCTGAGTGCCAGTCTCCATTTTCTGACCCTTTTTTGGGATCCCGTCTGGCGTTTGGAGGTCCACGGAGCCTTCAAAAGACCTCTAAAAAATGCAAGGTCAGGAAGCCAGCTCGTACTCAGGTACCGGTCCCAGCAGCCATGGTCCCTGCTCCAGAACCGGACCTTACAGCCATGTTTCCGTGCTCCAGTGCCGGCCCACAAAGTCATTGTACCGTGCTCCAGTACCATCCCACACAGCCATGGTTCCGTGTTCCGGTTCCGTGCCCAGCAGCCATGGTCCCTGCTCCAATACCGGCCCACACAGGCATGGTCCCTGCTCCAATACCGGCCCACACAGCCATGTTTCCGGCTCCAGAACCGGCCCACAAAGCCATGTTTCCGGCTCCAGAACCGGCCCACACAGCCATGATCCAGGCTTCAGTTCCGGTCCCCACAGCCATGGTCCCTGCTCCAGAACCGGCCCATACAGCCATGGTTCCGGCTCCAGAACCGGCCCATACAGCCATGGTCCAGGCCTCTGTTCCGGACCCAGCAGCCATGGTCCCGACTCCGGCTCCTCGTCACCTGTTGGCTCTCCGGCCGACGCCAGCTCCCCGTGTCCTGTCGGCGTACCGACCGTCTCAAGCCCTCTCAAGTTCCTTCTCAAGTCCCCTCTCGAGTCTCTTCTCGAGTCCCCTCTCAAGTCTCCTCTCGAGTTCCCTCTCAAGTTCCCTCTCGAATCCTCTCTCGAGTTCCCTCTCGAGTTCCCTCTCGAGTTCCCTCTCGAGTTCCCTCTCGAGTTCCCTCTCAAGTTCCTTCTCAGGTCCCCTCTCGAGTCTCCTCTCGAGTTCCCTCTCGAGTCTCCTCTCGAGTTCCCTCTCGAGTCTCCTCTCGAGTTCCCTCTCGAGTCCCCTTTCAAGTCACCTCTTGAGTCCCCTCTCAAGTCCCTACCCAATGTCCTGGTCCGTTGGAGGTTCCGCTGGGGGTCCTGCCAACTTCATGCCCTGTCCCGTTGGGGGTCCCGCCGACTACTCTTCTGCCGGGGGTCCTGCCAACCCTATGTCCTGTGCCGTTGGAGGTCCCGCCGACTACTCTTCTGCCGGGGGTCCTACCAACCCTATGTCCTGTGCCGTTGGAGGTCCCGCCGACTACTCTTCTCCCGGGGGTCCTGCCAACCCTATGTCCTGTGCCGTTGGAGGTCCCGCCGACTACTGTTCTGCCGGGGGTCCTGCCAACCCTATGTCCTGTGCCGTTGGAGGTCCCGCCGACTACTCTCCTGCCGGGGGTCCTGCCAACACTATGTCCTGTGCTGTTGGAGGTCCCGCCGACTACTGTTCTGCCGGGGGTCCTGCCAACTCCATGTCCTGTGGCGTTGGGGGTTCTGCTGAGGGTCCTGCAAACTCCACGTCCAGTGTCGTTGGGGGTTCCGCTGAGGGTCCTGCCAACTCCATGTCCTGTTTCATTGGGGGTTCCACCGGATTTTCTGCCAACACCTGATCCTGTCCTGTTGGAGGTCCCGCCGACACGTGCTCCGCCGGGTTTCCTGCAAACACCATATCCTGTCCTGTTGGGGGTTCCGCCGACACCTGCTCCGCCGGATTTCCTGCCAACACCATGTCCTGTCATGTTGAAGGTCCCGTCGACACTGGCTTTTGCTCCGTCCGGGGTCCCGCTGACACCGGCCCATGTTCCGTCCAGAGTCCCGTCTACGCCTGTCCCGCCAGGGGTCCCACCAGCTCCTGCTTTCGATCCCAGTGCTCCGGCGATCCAGCTGACACTGGAGGGGTCCCATTGCGGCGTACGTCGTCCTCTGGAGCTATCCCATCGCCACCTTCTTGCCCGACCTTATGACCGGCCTCCT